CAAACAGAAGCTTCACTGAGAAGAATAAACATGTATAAGAGAGTAAAAAAAAAAACAACGTTGCTCCATTAAAGAAGTGGAATTCTGAATTCCCACTCCCCTTCAAAGGGACTGCCTTTTAAACCCCTGGACTCTGGAGCATAATTTGAAAACTTCTGGTTTACAGTATTTCAGCTCCCTGTTAAAAGTAAACAGCTTTTGTCTGGTACAATATTAAGCCATTTTAAAATTACTAATACATTATGACAGAGTTTAATGTTTTTCTGTGCATAGGAATATGGATCATAGACTCCTTGGAGGATCTAATGAAAACTGTGGCTCCTCTGCCTGGCTGTATGGTGGAAGAAGTCCAAGGACCGTAGATTAAAGACCCCTGTCTCGTGGGAGATTGGTTTATATGATTTGCTTCAAAATGGGATAAATACTTAAGTCTTGAGGCATAGAAGAGTGAGGTTTCAAAGAAGGAGGAAGGAGGAAAAGATCTAAAGGAGAAATGGAATCTTGGGAGCTAGAGCCCAGGACTCTATTTTTAACTTGATCTCCAGGCAATTTTAACTTGATCTCCAGGCAGTAGTGATGATCAGACAGATGTAAGTTTAGGCACTAGAGCTCTAGAGCTGGGATGTCTAGGCGCTGGGGCCCAGGAGGCACTTCTACTGAGCTGGCAGTCCTAAGAGGGTGGGAAGGAAGGAGAGAGGGAGGGAGAAGCCCTGCTGCCCTCCCCAGTCTGACAGGGTAGAGAACAATAGGGAAGATCCTGTGCCTTCCATCCCGCCCTTCACAATGAGACAAAGCCAGGTCCCTAAGCCATAAGCCTCAGCCAGATCATCCATCCAAAACCTGACTGAGGGTACTCCAAAGTAAAAACAAAAACAAAAACAACAAAGAATGAGAGTCCAGGAAGCCATCTAGGTAGGGCTGGGCCTAAAAGAAAGTCTCATTTGGGGCCCTGATGTTCAAGTCCTGACATTTCTCCGTGGTTTTCCATGTCCTGTAGTAAGCTGACTAGCTCATTCCTCCCTCCCAGCAAAGGCTTGGTCTCTCCTGACAGTCTGAACTGTTGAACTGGATCTGCTCCTATCACGGGTGCTTTCCAAGCAAAGAGGCGTTTACAACTGAGTCAACAAACACCTACCCACCCTACTTTACCAAGCTCAGGGGTTTGTCTGGCCTACCCTGCCCCCATCTTGATATTCTCCCCAAAGGATCTGCTTTTTCAGGGAAGGTGAGAGAAGGGGATGAGCCTGAAGTTGGGGGACGAGCAGGAGAAAGCCTCTTCCAGACCCCAAGGCCTCTAGTCAAAATCCAGGTTTGATCCCAAAGCCTTTAGTCAAAATCTAGGTTTACTTAAGAACCTGTTTCTTGACACAGGCCCCGTCCCAGCCAAGACAAACTCAAGTTGTGTTGATACCCTGCTTCCTTGGGTGGCTGTGACTTTACACAGCAATGGCTCTGTGATTCTAAGACTCAGGACATGAGACACCTGCTTGGCTCTGTCTATTCTCTCTGTGGGCTGAAGATGGCAGAGGAGTTGTCTCCTTCTCCCCAACAGTCTCTGGGCAGTGATTCTTAGCTCTGTCAGTGTTTTATTCAAGTGTATCCATTCAACCAAATTCATATGTGTGGATTTCAATGTACACAAATTTTATGTAAAAAAAAAACACGAAAAATAACAACTTCAAGAGGAGAAGAGTATTCATGGATGCAAACTGGGTATCTGAATTTGCTTATACATATTTTTTAATTTCAGAGTTCTCTGAGATAAGGAGAAGACTGGAATTATGAGGAAAAACAGATCTAGAGAGATGTTAGCTCAAAGGCACAATGAATTTTTTTATTATGGTAAATTTGAAATTTACCATAATAAAAAGTGAAAAATAAGACTTAGAAATGTTTGTTTTCTCTTCGAAATCTCTCTTCTTGATCAAAAGTCTTAAGAAACTCGTATCCTTTACCCTAGTTATTTCACTTTTGGGAATCTATCCAAAATAAATAACCAGTGAGACAGAATATTTCATCGTAGTGCCATTTAAAATAAGGAAACCCTGGGCAAAAGCCAGTGTCCAACAGCAGAACGGTTAAAGGAATATGGCACAACCATTAAAGACATGGGAAAGCGCTTGTGGCCTAAGATGCAAAAACGGGGAAGAAAGGTCAGAACACAAAACTACATGCATAGAAGGATCTTCGTTTCATTTTTAAAAACATATCTGCATGTATAGTAAGATAGGGCAACTACACATATATCAGTTCCAAGTCTGAAAACGATATTCTCCAAAGGGTTTTGCTGCAGGAACGAGGGGTAAAAAACCACATTACGTAAATTACATAGAGAATCGAGTGAACCAGACAGAGGATCAATGTTCTGCCTACGGACACAATACGCTGGTCATCTACATAGTGCTTCCACAGTTCCCACACACCGTCTCATCTGATCTTCAATCTCCCCATATGGCGAGCGAATGAGGAGATGTTCCCGTCACTGTACAGATGAGAAAACACTCTCAGTGGCGTGAAATGTCTCGTCCAAGGTCACACGGATGAGAAATCACTGAGCGAGAACCCAAGCCTTCTCACCAGGAAACCTCCACCCTTGTACATCGAATAAAATACAAACTCACCCTGCACCAAATTTAACAGCCAAATCTAAAAATTAAATAAGACAGTTTTGGTTGTCTGCCATCATCCAGGCTCACTTCGGAGGCCTGAGAATTGGTGTTAAAATATCTAATCTGTTCGAGCGATAATTTCAGTTCACTCTGACTGCATTTGGCCTTTTGGAGACACATAGGCCAAGTCTATTTCTTTTCACGGTTTTTCATTTGGAGTCCCCTGGGACTCACTCAGGTGGAAGGTTTGCTGAGAAAATGGTGGTTCTAGGCCTTAGAACATTTCCCTTTCAACGTGTGCTTATTTACTTCATGTCACTTGGGGATATTCATACCGTCCAAGATGGCTGGCTCTGCTGCAGCTGTTCCAAGCTACTTTGAGATCTCACAATTCAAGACATAAGCTTCGACAGTTAAATCAGATACATAACTGGTAGCAGTCCTCAATTATAATCTGTGAACAAATCAATTCTTTGACAGCACCTTGGTTTACCCAGTCATCTGTCTTTGAAAGTGCATAGTCTGTGTAATATACAGATTCACAAAGAAGACACACAAGTATATTCAGCACACAATTCCTCCCTCACGCACAATGATATGACACATATCCAAGTCACAATCTTAAATGCGGGCAAACTAGGCCCTTCTTGACAGTGAGGGTGCCTTAAGGAATCAGATCTTTCCCGCAGTTACTTCCCATTCCCAATCCTTTTGAAATGTTATTCATGGATGCAAACTGGGTATCTGAATTTGCTTATACATATTTTTTAATTTCAGAGTTCTCTGAGATAAGGAGAAGACTGGAATTATGAGGAAAAACAGATCTAGAGAGATGTTAGCTCAAAGGCACAATGAATTCCCATCCTGATATTCTTTCTTTCCTAAACTACACTGACATCTAAATGCAAAGCCGAAGAGTCTCATCATGAGTTAGGTTCACAGCTCCCCAAACTGTCCCCTTCTCCTCTGTATCTTCTCCTTCTAGATGAAATGCCGGGTTTATGTGTTGCTGTCCTGAACTACACCCAACACAACATCTAGTACCTCTAAGTGCTGGGCATACAATATATATTTGGTAAATATTTATAATAAAGGAAAATAAAAATGGAGCTGTAAAATTGTTCTCTTATCAGCCTAAGTGTCTGAAACTACAGCTCGAGAAACATGTTTATCTTATTTCCACAAATCTGAGATGCCATTGCTTCTAAGACACACCATTTTTCTGTGTGCCACAAAGACACTATCAGTTAAAATATGACACGATGCTTCCTCATTGTGTCAATTATAAGCCAAACATCTTGATTTCATAGATGTTAAAATGTGAAAGAAATAGGCATTTTGAGTAGATGAAATGCAGTATGTCTACCTCTTCTAAAAGGAGATACTTTTTCCTTTTGGTTCTGTCTCATTAATTAACTCTCAAATTAACTGTCTCATTTTTAGTCTGTCTTGCATTTATACATGTTATGCAGTCATGCTTTCATATGGGTTGAAAAAGGGACATGAAATCTATTTTTCTTATGGACACAGTAATATAAAGTAGTTCTGTACTTAAATATAGTTTTAGTGCAAATTGTAAAATACTTGTCAGAGCCAAAACCACATTAATTCTGTGGTCTATTGTTTATTACAAGATTTAAAAGAGTAAGAACCGTTTAGGGGCATTTGGCATGTCTACTGTGTTTTCTTTTTCCCAAGTAGTGCTTTCTATTGTTTTTGTTGTCATTCTATTTAATGCTTGATTCGGCTGTTTTGTTATTGTTATTCAGTTTATTCTTAGTTCAGGTAAAGCAACTGAACTGTGAGTTTCTCACTGCACAGAGAAATTGGCATGAATAGATTCACATGATGAGAGCACATCACTTGCGTGAGCTAAATATGATGTTTTTATAAAATGCAAGGTGAAAATTCATAGTCTTTCTGGGCAGAAGAGAGCATGAAAAACACTAGGAAAAAGAAATATAGCTTCTGTGATAATCCTTTCTAAATTTTTCATGGACCAGTCCTTGCTCATAAATGCTACAGTTTGGGATAAGAAAAACTCTGATTCTAGCCTGTTTTTTAGTTACCTTCGCATATTCCTTTGGCCTAGCAGGCATTATTTATATACAACAGCAAAGAGAGTCATGCAAAATAAATAAATAAATAATTTAATTAATTAATTAATTAAATAGCAAGGGTTTTCTCAGGACTAGACCATGGCTGGGTGGAGAATGGTCTAAATAACTGTAGGTCCTGTGATGCCTTGCTCCCCACTGAGGTACCAGGGCCCATTACTATGTTGATGAGAGTCAGTAGCCATTGTACTGGGCACTAAGTGGGGCGGTTGGGAAGCTGTTACTGTTCAATCACTGCTAATACACATTTTGCCCATTGTTCTCTCCCCTGCAGTCTGAGTACCACTATGAATACACCGCGTGTGACAGCACAGGCTCCAGGTGGAGGGTCGCCGTGCCGCACAGCCCAGGCCTGTGCACCAGCCTCCCCGACCCTGTCAAGGGCACCGAGTGCTGTAAGCAGCCATCCTGCTCCAGGGCCTCCCTGCCGCTCAGCTTTGGTTTCTGCCCCAAGCCTCCTGCCATCCAAGCTAGGCCCTTCCCGACAGCGCGGGTGCCTTAAGGAACCAGATATTTCCTCAGTCCCCATCCCCAACCCTTTTGAAATCTTTTTTATAGATGCAAACTGAGTATCTGAATTTGCTTTTTTTTTTTTTAAATTTAAATCCCATCAGGATATAAAGTATAAGTAATTCCAGCTGTGTGCCACTCAGATATTTCTTTTCAGTTCGCATACATTTTTTTTTTTTTTTTTTGCCTATGCATTTCTCTCCAGTCTTCACTCACCAGCCACAATCAGTCATTAGGAAAGATTGCGATTTGCTTTCTTTCTTGAAAAGGAAGCCAGAGAAGATGAATTTCTGTAGAGACAGACCTTTCAAATGCACTGGGCATCACTTCAGGGAAGAGAATCTTCCCCAACTGTGCAATTGACTGTGCAATCAGCAAGGCAATGACTTGCCTGCAGCTTCTGTCCCCACTTCTGTGACTTAGTAGTCAGAACTTTTCTACAACTGGCAGCTCATTCCACTGCAATGTTCTTTTTAGAAATACAAAGGAGATAACAACAAAAATCCGGGACTAGAATCAAGAAATACTTAAAGACTTGGAAAGGAGATTGAGAGCATTTAAATTCTAAAATAAGCTTAGCACAGTACCTTGTCTGGTAGGTGAGTAAATACTTGTTAAATTAACGAATGGATATTGCTAAGATCTGAGCAGAACTGAAGGGTGACTAATGGAAACAGATGAGCCATCTTCAGTTAACTTGGCCAACTTTACTGAGCTCCTTCTTTGTGCCCGTGCTGTGTGAATCAGAGATAAGTAAGGCACAGTCTCTGCCTTCAGAAGCTCACAGGCTGGTGGAAGGAGCAGACATTCATTCATCCATTCATTTTTTTCAGTAAAACCTTTATGGAGCTCCTGCTATGTCTGTGTCAGTCACTGAGCCACCGTCCCTGGAGGAGCTCGGTGCCTAGTGGGAGGCACACGTCAATATGATGTGTTAATGTGAAGTGAAAAAGAATGGGCGTTATGGATGCTTAGGGATCAGGAACAGCTGGGGGAACCATGAGCAAAAGTTTAAAGGTGAAAGAACACCAGACACATTCAGGGAAGAACATATAGTCTGGGAAGGAGGCAGCACAGGGAAGGCGATGGATGGAGCTGGGGTGGAGAAAGGTCTGCAGTGGGAGATCAAGCTGGAAAGTTAGGTTGGGGGAAAATTTTGGAAGACTGAATGCCAGGCTGAGAGCTTAATTCTATAATCAAAGGGGATTGCCCGATTATTTTTTAAATAATAGGAATAACAGTACACATCAGGGTTTTAGAATGATACTTCTGACCACAGAATGAGCAAAAACAAGAAATGGGGACCTAGTTAGGAGGACAGTGCAGAGGTTGAGCTAAAAAGTCATGAGAATCCCAACCAGCATGGTGGCAATGGAAGCAGAAAGGAGGAGACAGAGGCCAGAGACTCAAGGGGGAAACGCAAGGCTGAAGGGCCAGGCACTATTCAGAGGGGTCAGCACGAGAGGCCATGGTATTCCTTTCCCTGGCGAGCTCAGAAAGGCAGAATCTGCTCCCTCAGGAAATGAGACTGACAGGGACAAGCCTAAGCCCCACAGCAAGGCAGAGCTTCCATGGCCTTACATCTTTGTTGTTGCTGTTGTTGTTGTTAATAACAGCTTTAATGAGAAATTTACATTTCACAAAATTCACCCTTTTAAAGTGTAAAATTCATCAGTTCTTAGAAGATTCACAGAGTTGCATAACCATCACCACTAACTTCAGAACATTTCATCAGCCCCAAAAGGAACATCAAATCCCTTTTAATCTCTCCCCCAGACCCCTCCCCTGAGTCCCTGGCACCACAAATCTACTGTCTGTCTCTGTGAATTTGCCTATCTGGACAGTCCATGTAAATAGAATGGAACAAGATGAGCTATGGCTCTAAATCATAGTGGGCTAAATGCCTAGACCTCAATCCTCTGCTCCTCCCTTTAGGATGCCCACAATCCACCCACTTCTCCTGGGGCGGCAGGGGCCTCACCACCCTACCCTTGTCCCTGCTCTGTGTTCCAGCCTTTTCTTGCAACGCTGGAGAGTTTCTGGACATGAAGGACCAGTCGTGTAAGCCGTGCGCCGAGGGCCGCTACTCGCTTGGCACGGGCATCCGGTTCGACGAGTGGGATGAGCTGCCCCATGGCTTTGCCAGCCTCTCAACCAACATGGAGATTGACGACAGCACCGCCGAGTCCACCGAGAACTGTACTTTGTGAGTCCTCATCTTCTCCAACCCCCTAAGCTCCCTCCTCCCCATATTGGGGAAGGAGCTGCAGGGAGCACTCGAGCCTCTTCTCCTTCTCCTCCGGCTGGGCAGGGAGGATGGAACAGGTCCCCACAGGACTGTTGAATGTGACATCCACCTCGGCCCATTCACTGACCTAAGCTTACTAAATGATGGGCAGGCATTTGTGATAGGTGAAAAACATGGAGGTGGGTAAGATGGACAAGGGTTTAATGGCTCAGTCCATTTAAAATAAAATCCAGTGGGACTGCCACCACAGAATTCTGGATAAGCCAATAAACATCCTCAACTCATTTGCAACACAATGTGCAAAGCACAGGCTGTCTTCCTGGCTTTGGTGCTGACTTCTAAAACTTGTCTGCCAAACCTGAGTTCATAGGTTTGTGGGAGACAGAGAAGGACCGGAGCTTTGGTCAGTGGTGGCTGATATCTTTCAAACCCTTTGAGATCCCAGTGACCAGATAACTTTCCAACTATTCAGTAACTGAAAGCTCAGCCCAGGGTGCTTGGAGAACTGGTAAGCTCTCCGTGTCAAATCTTTGGACACATAATGCCAGGGACAGAAATTAAATGATGTGCCTTCTATAGTTCACACTATTCTGCATGCTTTACCTATATTATTTTCTATAATCCTCACAAGAACACTGTGCAATAAGTATAACTGCTCCTATTACACGGATGAAGAACCGGAAGCTCAGCGAGGTTAAATGAATTGTCCTTCGTTACCCAGATTACAAGTGCTGAGAATGGAATTCCCACCTAGTCCTAAGCTTTGTACTGCCCGAAGCAGCCACCTTCAAATAATTTAGTGTGTGCAAGGCAATGTTGGGTCCTAGGGAGGAAAAGTGGGAGGACACATAGATGTAAAAGACAATCATCTGCTGCTCTTCACTAAATATTGACAGAGAATGTGGGAGAAAAGTACATACATGAAAGTTTCTCTTGTACTCAAATAATCGAAAGGATAAAAAGGACATAATAGTTGTATTACACTTGGATTTCTGAAACTGATACTTATTTCTTATATTTAAATCTTCCAGAAGTACCATTGTCAGAGCCAGGCAGCAGGCATTTAATATTCCAATTACAATGTTATTTTAGAGTTCAATATTATGTGTCAAAATCATCAGCATGATAACATTGGCATCAGAGATAAAGCTAGAGAGGATTAAAGCTGGAAAGGGGGATAATATGTAGGTTAAGACAACCAGCCCCCATCTGTGTCCTAATGGAGAATGTGACTATCCTGGCCACGGTGCAGGCCCGACTCACTCAATCAATTCTTATCCAAGAGAAGAAAGGGTTTCTCCCTCTCAGGGGATTGCACTGAAAGTCCGGAAATCATTACCTCTCAGCAAGGCAGGATGTGGCCAGTTAATAACAACCTGCACTTCCACAGCACGGATCCTGAAGGGCCTGGATCTCAAAGCGTCCATGACACCCCTGGGCGGGGGGAAGAATGTTTCTCCTCTGTAGAAGTAGAGAGGAGATGGCCATATAGAGAGGTTTTGTGATTTTCCCACTCCGCTCAGGAAGGTGAGAACCGAGCTGATACCAAGATACCAAGTGTCTGGTATCTCCCTGAATCCACGCCCACTGCCTCTAACCTAACCCGAGCTAGCCAGCGTCGCCTCCTGCCCGTTCTTCCTCTAGCGCCTCCCAGTTAGTCTGTGCTTCCACTCCAGCCTCCTCCAGGCCACTGTTCACTCAGTAGCCAGACTGAACTTCTTAAAATACAAACCCAACCGCAGTACTTGCCCGCTCAAAATCCTGGATTCTATGGATTCCTATTGCTCTTGGAATAAAATCCAGTACCTTGCCATGGCCTGAAGGGCCCTGTCCGGACCAGCCTTTGCCCACTGCCCATTTCTCCAGCTTCTCTCAAGTACCTCCCCTCGTGCTTACTGTGCTCCGGACACATTGGCTGCCATGCTCCTTCCATCCTGGGGCCTCTGAACACCCTCTTCTCCAACTCTTTTCCCAGCTGACTCCTGCTTCACTCTCAGGTCTTTGCTTCAACGTCACTTCCTCAAAGACACCATCCCTGACCCCAGAGAGTCCAGTTACTCTGTATCATCTTGTTTTTCTTCTTATGGCACTTATCATAGTTATTGCTACATGATTGTGTGATTAGTTAAGTTTGTGTCTCCTCAACTAGAAATAGAATTCGAGCTCCAAGAGGAGGGGGATCAGGTCTTGTTCTTTTGCTGTGTCTTCAACATCTAACATCTGGTAAAAAGTCCACATGAAATAAATAATTGGGAACAAAACAGGCCAACCCAAGTTTCTACGGCAAGATCCCGACCCTTCACAGGGTCAGCCATCTTCAGTTCCTGGATAAATGTCCCAGGACTTAAGATGCCGAAAAGAGTCTTCAGATCCAAAACTGGAATAATCAAGAGAGAAGAGGAGTAAAGAGAGAGTAATATAAAAAGGATATTGTGTGTTAGTGGAGAGTAAAGGACAGAAGCCCAATTACTGCAAAGGTAAGACAGGAATGAGAGAGAGATATAAACATTAAAAAGGGTTTCAAACATTGGAAGCTTCTAAGTTTTCCTATACAGTTTCTTCTTTCTAACCTGAACTTCTGAAACAGTGCCACACAGCATGAGCCAGGTGGGGTGTCTGGGTGGCCGCCATGTGAGAATTCCTCTTAGAAAGCTTGCCTTTCCCTAGGGCCACAGTAAAACAAAGCAGATATAAGTAGATCACAGTTAAATGACCATGAGAAAGTTTCCTAATCACTTTCATGCCTCAGTTTCCTCATCATAAAAAAGAGCATTCTTTCTATAGGTTGCCGTAGGGAGATGATACGTGGAAAGAATCTGGAGCGATGTCTGGCACTAGAAATCAATCAAGACGTGTTGTTATTATTGAACGTGAAATGATCTTCACCAGAAACAACTCTGACAAACAGAATTGTGATGCATTTTGCAAATGTAACCTACTTACGGCATCCTTTTAATTATTCATCCAACTTCAGGAGTTATTTATAGCTGATGCCAGGGAGCACATCAGCAATATGTACTGTCTCTTTCAATAGGAGACATCAATAGCGTTAGGTAGCTGGGGTGTCTTGGATGAGCTCAGTTTAGATATTTTGGTTATGCTTCCATTTGAGAATAACACTAACTGTGGAAGAGCTCTAAGTACTATATTATTCTGATAAACACTGAGGGAAACCAGTGGACGAATCTGAGGTCCCCTTAACTGGCCGTTATTAATAATTAGAGATCTGGGCTGGTTTCAAGCAAAATAGTGAAATAGTAGAATTGTCTTTGATCACCCATTTCCCACCTTTATCTGTTTAATCCTCTGAGTCCCTCCAATGGACCAGGCCCAGGGTTTGGTGCTGGCAAAACAATAGTAAGCAAGGAAAGTCTGGTCTCTCCCCTCACAGCATCTGCAAACCAGCCAGGAGGACAGACAATTAAAGAATTATTAATGTTTGCTCAGAAGAGGGAACCAAATTGCAAACAAACTAAGAAAAGATGCACAATTTCATTAATAATTAAGGAGAGAAGATTTACAGCCCAATGAGATGCTATCTCCTATCACTTCATGTTGGCGATTGACGATTTTAAAATCTGACCATTCCAAGCTGGGGGAGGAGGTGGAGCAACAGGAACCCTCTTACACTGCCTATGGGTGTAAACTGAAGCAACCACTTTGGAAAACAATGTGGCAGTAGCTGGTAAGGTTGGAGGTTTATACAGCCTCTAACCGGGCAGTTTTACTCCCAGGCATTGCATTCAGACATGGGCATCAGGGGACAGGAGGAGAATGTTCCAAACAGAGTGTGTTCAATAGCAAAAAATTGGAAACGACTGGAATATCCACCAACAAGTAATGCATAATAAATATGGTAGAGCCATACCAAGCAATATTATAAAGTAGTAAAAATGAATAGAAGAGCTACAGGTGTGAATTATGGGTGAATCCCACAATCAATATATTGAGCAAGAAAAAAAAAGCAATTTCAGAACACATAATTATGATACCATTCACCTAAAATTTAAAAAACATGCAAAGCACTATATAATATGTCGTTTAGTGATACACACATAATTAGTAAGGGACAGAGAACTACATGAGGATATGAAGCACCAAATTCAGGAAGGCGGTGACCTGGCGGTGGGGACAGGAGTGTGTAACAGGAAGGAGGTTGGAGACGGGAAACAGTGAGAGTTAAGGGCACACACGGCCGAGGCAGGTGAAGAGTCAAGGACTTCTCAGATTAGATGGCATTTATTCTAAGACACAAGTAAGGATTAACAGAGGGAGGAGGGAGAAGTTTATTCCAGGAAGAGGGAATATCATGTGGCAAGACCCAGGGGTGAGAGAACAGAAAAATCAAAAGAAATTCTCTAAGGCTGCACTATAGAGAGTGGGTGAGGAATCTGTAATTATCCCAAGGGCAACAGGCAGTCACAGGGATTTTAAGCAGGGAAGTGGCATGGTCAGCTTTTTGTTCGGACGGTCTCTCCAGCCACAGTGCGAAGGGTTTGGAGGAGGCAGGACTAGATGCAGGAAAGTAAGTTAGGAGGCCAAGTTCAGAGCTGAGGGTAGTGGTGGGGAAGAGGAGGGAGAGCCAGCCCTTGGGCAGGGTGGCCTGAGTTGAGAGAAATTTTGAAAATTAAATCAACATGCCTTCCCCATCCCATAGAATCTAGTTACCTGTAGCATCTAAAAGTGGACATTTCCAGAAAAAACAGGTGAAGTAGACTGATGAACTTATGAGTCCTGAAGAACAGCTGTATCTACTGACTTTTTGTGACAGCTTTGGAGTTAGGCTGACCTGGGTTTGAATCTCAGCCTTGCCACTTGCAGGCTGCATATGTTGGGTAAGATATTCGCCAAGCCTCAGTTTCATCATCCATTACATACTTCTTCTTCTTGACGAAAAAAAAATCATAAAGCAGTTTAGTACCTGGGAGATAGTAAGCAACCAATAAATGTTATCCGCACCCCCCAACTTCACCTGCCATCTATCTTCTGGGTAATCCTGTATAATGTGGGGGCACACCTCTTGTTGGCTGTACCTCCAGGCTCCTTAAACTGGAAGTCATTCTTCACTGAGTATTTTCAGGTCTAAGCTTCTGCTTGTGAAGCACAAATCTGGAATTGCCCCAGAGACCTAGCAGGACATGAGACCTGCACATCACACAAAGCCTGATGGGCCATGGCCCTGATACTGAACTTAGCTCCCATTCCAACTCACAGGTCCAAGTGGGTTCCCCTCGGCGACTACATCTCCTCCAACACAGACGAGTGCACGGCCACGCTGATGTACGCCGTCAACCTGAAGCAGTCGGGCACTGTCAACTTCGAATACTACTACCCAGACTCCAGCATCATCTTTGAGTTTTTTGTAAGCCCCTGGCCAAGGAGGAGGGGTGGGAGGTAAAGATGCTCAGATTCATTTGCAGGAATGACAAGCATAGTCCTGCTTGGGAGATTTCCACAGTGGTTTTCCTTCTGGAGAGAACTGTGGGCAAAATGAGTTGAAGCTTCAAGAGGCGAGGGACTCTGAGGTGGAAGAGTAGAATCTGGGAGTTCCTAGGGGTTTTGCCCCGCTCGGACACGAAAGCAGCATGTAACCCTTTCTGAGTTCCAAGTTACTTCTTTGGTGTCAATACCCTGACGTTCTGTGTGTGTGACTAGCTCCCGCCCTGCTTCAAGGCTCATATGTTCTGAGCTCCGCTCCTAAAGGAAATTGGCAACTCTTCTTTCCTGAGAAGGGGTCCCTGAAAGGCTGCTGCAGTGTGGGGTAAGGAACCCATTCCTTCAGAAGGCTGAGACTCTGCTCCCAACTCCTCCTGCCTCAGGTTCAGAATGACCAGTGCCAGCCCAATGCAGATGACTCCAGGTGGATGAAGACCACAGAGAAAGGATGGGAATTCCACAGCGTGAGTATCATACCAGCCTTCCTAAGCCTTTCCTGGAGATACCAGCCTTTCCTAGAAATCCCAAGATAGGGACCAAAGGCCTTTCCTCTAAGGAGTACTTCCTCCCAGCTCGGGCTTCCACCCCTCTCTCCCTAGAGAGCAGAGGTCTGACATGATGAGGATGCTATAATTTCTCTCCTCTTTAGTTCACAGAATATGGGTGTGTGCTGACTTGTTCCTATGACTTGACTCCAAGGACAAGCAGCTTGCCAGGTTTAAGGGCCAGGTCTTCTGGGGATGGGGCACGGATAAACAGAACCAGAGAAGAATGAGAGAAGAATAAATAGAAACAGTGCCCCTTCTGTCAGCACCTTCAGGTCCCTTCATATCAGTCTCACCACAGAGAGGCTCATGGTATCTGTGCTTGAAGGAGAAGCAGGAGAGGGCAGGGGAGGGGGTAGAGGAGGCTTAGAAGGAGAGGGGAGCTAAACCAAGATGGGAGGAAGGGCAAAGCTGAGGAAGTTGAGGGGGAGGATCAGAAGAGGCACTGCCAAACAGACTGTGTGTGAGAGGAGGTCCCAACGAGAGGTTAATCCAGCGGACTAGGGTTATCTGTTTTCTGAGACTGAACTAACTCTTCCTGTTGGTGGTTTTTAGGTCGAGCTAAATCGAGGCAATAATGTCCTCTATTGGAGAACCACGGCCTTCTCAGTGTGGTCCAAAGTCTCCAAGCCTGTGCTGGTGAGAAACATTGCCATAACAGGTACGAAGAGCAGGGCTGGGGCTGGAGTCTGCCGCTGAATTTCTGGCCTTGTAACTCTGTGGGGAGGGTGGGGGTCAGTTCCCAGGGGGCTCAGTCCTTAGGATCAATTTTTGCTTTTCTATGCTGTTCTTCTTCCCTAGGGGTGGCCTACACGTCAGAATGTTTCCCCTGCAAACCCGGCACGTACGCAGACAAGCAGGGCTCCTCTTTTTGCAAACTTTGTCCAGCCAACTCTTATTCAAATAAGGGAGAAACTTCTTGCCATCAGTGCGACCCTGACAAATACTCAGGTGATGTTTCTGAGGGCGGGAAGAGTTTGGTGGGGGCTGCCAACAAACCCTGGGAGAAACAGGAAGTACAGCCATCCATCTGGTCAAGCTCAAGACCGATAATTCTTAAACTCTTGCCTTCTGGACCCTAGAGGACCCTTGCCAATCCACACTCCACCAATCACTCTGGAAATAAAACTGAAATCATTCAATAGGTATTTATTGAGCTCTACTATCTGCCAGGCTCTATTTTGGGTGCTTGGAATACAGCAGTGAACAAAATAGACAAAGCTCCATGTCTTCATGGAATTTACATTCAGGAGGGGAGAAGACAGACGTAAAGAATAACAATAAATAATACATGTGTAAAAATTTATATAGTATGTTAGACAGTAAAAAGTGCACGATGCCATAGCAAGAAGGAAAAGCAACTCAGGGTTAGAGGCTTAGGAGAGCTAGGGAAAGGGGTTGCAATCTTTTTTTTTTTAAGCAGTACAATTTTTTAAATGAAACCTTATTAAGTATAAGATTATAATTATAAATAATAGATATAGTAGATTGGAAGTATACATTTATATATTTTAATTTATAACAATTATCAAAGTTAATTTAGAAAAGTCATAAGGCTCTATTTACGAGCAAAACATTTTAATAGCAAGAGCCAAAGATGGAACTTATAATCTTTTATCAGCCTGAGCAGCCACTGAATTCAAAGCAGGCCTTTTCAGGAAATCCAGAGTTCCTTGGAACACAGTTTAAAAACCACTCACTGTTTTAAGGGAAAATAAGAGGACAGTCAAAGCAGCCTATTTCTGCAGTCTCTGGATAGCTTCCCCAAATATCCCGACTTAAGAAACAGGGCCTGGTCACTGAGGGGGCTTCAGGGGCAGCAGGGCTCTGGTATAAGATGGGCACTGCTCCCAGAGGGCCCTCTGCTCAGGAAGTCCAGTGGTTGGCCAGGGGGGCCAATCTCCAAGACAGGT